GAGCGCTGTAGCGGCAGCTGTTTGCACGCTGTTAGGCGAGCTGGACTTCAGTGACCGAGCAAAGACCTTCAACAATGGCTTCTGGAAAACTGGCGGCGCCACGGTCTCGCCGTCATCTTGTTCCACAGGCACAAGCAACGTGGGATGCGTTGTCAGCATATCACACAAGATGTGGATGGCAGTCACCTGCAAAGCCTCGTGGCCCTTGCTGAAGCAGTGGATGAAGAGAGTCATGTTTTCCTCAGCCAGAGTCTGTAGAATCGTTAGTAGACCATTGTAAGCACTTCATAGAATTGTTCCTACCTTATCGAGTAGACAGCAAAGACCCAGACACTCAAGACCCCTCTCACGGATAGGGGCCTCGTGGCTTCGAACGGCAGGCACGACGAGGTTGTTAAGCATAGTCACCAAGTTCATGTTGGCCTGGAGGTTGCCCTCGACATTCTGCAGCATGCACTGCGCAATGTGCAGACATTTCATATTGACCATGATCTCCTTCAGTACCTTCGCTTTAGCCTCCTCTTTGTTGAAAGGCTTCTCTTCTTCGGACTGAGGGGTCTCGGATCGGTGGCGGGTGGAGCTGGCATCGCTGATTTCTGACCTTGCAGACACGAAGCTGTCCTCAGTCACAATAGTGTCGTGGACTTCAGCAATGGCTTCCAGAACAACGCTACAGAATTCCTTCTCAGCAGCAGCGTTGGGGCCGCAAACACATCGCAGGGTCTCGACAGCAAGCTTCGTGCACTCCTGAGGGAGTTCCGGTACGGCAAGCGACTCACGCAGGAGGGAGAACATCTTGCGCCGTCCAACTTCATCACTGTAGTCCAGAGTCATGGAGATATGCAGCAACTGTTCCACGATAAATTCTTGCTCCACGGAATCGTCATCATTAGCATCACCAGTCTCTTTGGCGATCTTCTTCCGCTGCAACAGCTCGGTCATATACTTGTGTAGGTAAAACGCAAGGGCTGTGACTTCGGGCATCTTCTCGTCTGCAAGCTTGTCGTACTTCCCTTCATTCTCAACGCGGCAGAAGTCGCTGAAAGACCGGATCATGAAGGCCGATTCTGCGGTAAGGTTCTCCCAGAAAGGCTCGTCGAAAACAACCGCCTCCCGATAATCCGGGCGACCCTCCCAGAAGCTACGCATGGCTTCGTGTGCAATTCCAGACTCTACTCCGGAGTTGACAACATCAATTCTCTCGAGGAGCTCAAGCAGCCCGTTGAAGTTCGGTGGGGAGCGTTGGCCTGTAGGTCCGGCTTCGGGGTCGTTGTTGGTGCCAGCGCAGTCTTCAACCCAGCGGTCGTAGAACAATTTACCCGTGGCTTTGCGAACGCTCTCGTCACGGTCACGGAGACCCCATCGAAGAAGCTTCTCTCGCATAGACAGCGACAAATGCCGGAAGTCACCTAGGGTGGGAAGGAGACGCGAGTACAAGGCACGTCGAGTAGCGGCATCGAGATCGCGGGCTCGTTCCAGGAGATATTTCAGGGTACCCGGCACCAGAGGGAGGTTGATGAGTAGGGTCTTTCGTACATCGGCACTGGTATCATTCTGCATAATATCGATGAGTCGCTCGAGCACGGCCTTGCTGTCATCGTCATCTTCGTCATCGTTTCCTGCGAGACGGCCAAGTCCCATGACAGCCTGCACTCTTACGGCAGGCTCCTTGTCTCGAATGCGCTTCACAAGGCCGCCGCGAATGGCGTGATATTGGTCGTCGTCTATCGTTTCGAGGGAGTTGACAATGTGGGCGATGATTTGAGTGGCACGAAAGCGGACCGTCTTGTCTTTTGTTGCTAATAATGGGACGATTATGTTGATCAGGCTGGTTGTCAAGCGGGAAGTGGGCGTTTCAGGCGAATTTTGCATATCTTCATCGTCATCATCTGCGGCATATAGTTCTGCATCTTTCTCGGAAGCCAATGCCAGGAATGCGCCAAGAAAGCGTAGGATGCGGTCTCCGACCGGCTCTGATTTCTTGATAGGGAGAATGCGCAGAACGCAACGGCCGACCTCCGTATTGAACTCCGTCTCGGGCAGAGTCTCTTCCATAGGAAGCGTCCACTCTGCCTGGGACTTGCTTCCATCCTTCTTGGAGCTCTTCTGGGATATGCCGCAGCAAGCTTCTTGGAGCTTCCTCAGTCGGACAACGAGTTTCCGATGTCCGGTTGTCGAGCGCTGCGCATCGGCGAAAAGAGAGCATACATCGCGGCGCAAAGTGGGAATAGCCTCTGGAAGTGAAGGCTCCTCGGGGATAGTGAAAGACGGGGTCACTGAGCCTGCGCGCGAGGGCTGAGCGGAGGTCTTGCGCGTAGCGGTGGACGTTGAACGGGCGGATCGGCCAGGCATGGTGGCTCAATGGCGGGGTAGATGTCTCGTCTCAGACAGTTCAGTAAGGGGTCGGGAGTCAATAGTTGTCATAAATCATCCTAAATCCGTTGCATCGATGGATCTTAACGCGTCGTCCGTCCAAAGCGTGTCTGGCGTGTGCAAGAGTTCGATGTGTTCAGGAGAAAGACTGATGCTGTTCCGATCCAAACATTGCGGAGGCTGTCACGGGGCTGGATAAACAAACAGCCCAAACGGGAAGGCTGATAAGGGCTAGGGCTGCACGTGGTTCAATCAACAGAAGATTACTGGGCTGTACGAGAAACATGCAGTTCACACTGAATGTGATGTCATTACACTGAACATGCACAAGACTGAGCTTAACATTATCCTTTTCACGGCTAGCAACATATAAACACAATACAATACAGCTGCTAATGTCAGCTCCATCATGGAATGTCCAGTAAAGGCAGTGAAAGCAATCACGCCATCGACCACGTGACGTAGCTTACTAACACCGATCATCGGCATGCGGACAATCCGGGGAATCGCTGCGTTCCTCCCTCAGCATCCAGGCGTTCTGGGTTTGACGATTAGCGAGCCATTGACAGCATGTTTCGTCAGAGTATCCGTCGATTCGGCACAACGGCCCTCCGCGCCGCGGAGGCGTCGACAACCTCCTACAATGTCCGGGTATCCAAAGCCCAGGGCTTCACCAACGGCCTCACGGAAGGTATATGCACCCATACCCGGCAACTCAACCGCATAACTAACCCTCCACCTTAGCAATCGGCAACACCCCCCTGATCCGACTGAAGAAGCTTTCCGAAGAAACCGGCTGCAACATCCTCGGCAAAGCCGAGTTCCAGAACCCCGGAGGCAGCGTCAAGGACCGCGCAGCTCTATTCGTCGTCGAGGATGCAGAGCGAAAGGGCCTCCTGAAGCCCGGCGGTACGGTAGTGGAAGGCACGGCAGGAAACACCGGAATCGGACTCGCGCACGTCTGCCGCTCCAAGGGCTACAAGCTCGTCATCTACATGCCCAACACCCAATCGCAGGGCAAGATCGACCTGTTGCGTCTCCTCGGCGCCGAAGTGTACCCCGTCCCCGCTGTCGCATTCGACAACCCGGAGAACTACAACCACCAGGCACGCCGGCACGCCGAGTCCCTGGACAACGCCGTCTGGACTAACCAGTTCGACAACACCGCCAACCGCCAGGCGCATATCGAGACGACCGGTCCCGAGATCTGGGCGCAGACGAACGGTCAGATTGACGCTTTCACCTGTGCTACGGGTACCGGTGGTACTTTGGCTGGTATTACGCGCTACTTGAAGACCGTCAGTGACGGGAAGGTCAAGAGTTTCCTTGCCGATCCTCCGGGTAGTGTGTTGCACAGCTATATCCAGAGCGGTGGGAACTTGGTCGAGCGCTCCGGTAGCAGTATCACTGAGGGTATTGGCCAGGGTCGTGTCACGGATAACCTGCAGCCGGATATTGGTCTGCTGGACGGATCGCTTAACATTCCTGACGAGAAGTCGATTGAGATGGTGTATCGCTGCTTGGATGAGGAGGGTCTGTACCTCGGTGCCAGCTCGGCGTTGAATGTGGTGGCCGCGCAGGAAGTGGCGAAGAAGCTGGGCAGGGGTAACACCGTTGTTACTATCTTGTGTGATGGTGCTTACCGCTATGCGGACCGGTTGTTCTCCAACACGTGGTTGCAGACGAAGGGACTGCGTGGCGCGGTGCCGAAGCACTTGGAGCGCTATGTTGTGCTGCCTTAGATGTAAATCAGTTATCAATTTGTGAATAGATATGATGTATGCTAGAACGGACTCTTTGAACTCGGCTTCGTAGTAGTAGTAGTAGTAGTAGTAGTAGTACTTTAATGGGACTCATGATGATACTACCCGTGACCCGCTAGGATGTAGTAGTATATATATCCACACCACATAATGAACTCAACACACCCAACTCCAACATTCATAGAACTGAAACCCAAACACTCTCATTACTTACTCTTAGAATCAATACCAACTCACACATAATAAACATTTAAAGTAGTAGGTAATGGCATGGCATCATCAACGCCCAGGAATCATATAGTAAAAATAGCCAAAGCATCTAAAGTTATCTACCGTTACAACGAAGTTGCGAACAGTTATATATATATTTACTAGTCGTTATAAACTACAAATCAAGAATCATACTTCGTAGTATACTACTTGATGAATATATGAGCGGTACTAGTAGTACCTCTAATTTATATCATTGTTGACTTGACGTCATTACATACTTCGATACTACAATCCAAGGATATAATTAGTGAGTGCGAGTCTACATTTACCAGCCCACTACTATACGAGTAGTAACACCGCTGCAAAGAGATCTATTCTATCTGTACACAGTAGTAATAATATACAATGAGTCGAGTCAAGACCATCCATCCATCCATCATCCCCACCCCTCTCCCACAACCACAAACCATGAAGTCTATCAACATCAATCAATCAACATCATCCGAAATAGAAAAGAGATAATGAAGTAAACGCCATAAAATGCACCCAACCCAAACGCCACCCATGAAAAACAAACACAACCCACATTACACCCTCCCTTTCCCCCCCAGCCCTCCCATTCTCTCCTTCGAAGAAAACTCGGGAAATACCTCAATCATCCTTCTCCGGCATCCTCATATAAGCATCAATCGCCGCACTGAACGCCGCAAAGCCCGCACACCCCGCCGCCGCAGCCTGGGGACCAGCCTTCGCACCGAGAATCCCACCAGTAATGCAACCCGCCGCGACCGAGTTCGTAAGATCATTCTTGGCCCGCAAGCCCTCAATACAGCACTCAGTGCCAGAGTACAGCGCACCCACGACACCGAAGTTCTTCGCGCTAGACCACGACCGCTGGCCCATGTCTTTGAATCCCCTCCGCACTTGCTCTTTCCAGGGGAGGTCGGCGATCGCTTTGCCTTGCGGGGTGAAGGTGGAGTCGTAGGACATCTACACATATACCATGTATCTGTTAGTTTGGTTTGGTTGATTTTGGAAGATGGAAGGGTATGGGGATAGGGATGGGGGGCAGGCGTACGCTAGCCATGAACAAACCGAATACACCACCCAGACCGAAACCCATTGTTCCGGCCATGACGGTCTTCATGGGGCAGGATTCCATGGCGGAGTACATCTACCATCATTATTAATGCGTTAGCTTGGGTTTACTGATGAGGAGGGAGAGGGTAAGGGGTAGGGAGGAAGTGTACCATCTTCACCATGGCTTGTTCTTGCTCGCTCATGCCCTGCATGTTGGGTCCTGCTGCGCCGGGGGCGCCGCCGAGGCCGCCCATCGGCGTGGTCATGCCAGCGGGGTTCATTGTGTATGTTGTCTTAGAGTCTGAGGTATGTGGTGGAGCTTGAGGAGTTTTGGTAGGGAGGCTGGAGTGGTGGAGGAGCTCCGCGACACGGTGGTAGTGAGTGGTGTAGACAGACGGCCGATTATCGCATCCCCCGGACTTTTTGCGGAGATGGCGACGGGCGCAAATTTATTTTTACGGGACGCGGGAGGTGCCAGAGTGGCAATGTCACGTGATATCCCGGGATTTCACGATACTATACGGATACTATCAACTACCTCTACTAATATAGAGCAAGATCTCTAATTCTAGGTAATAAGTAACTGTTTTTACAGCCAGTACATTCTGACATAAATACATTCTAAAACATTGCAAGAAGGTAAAGAGTGAAATCAACGCTCATCGTAAAGGGTATTGCAACATTCATAACCCTGCGTTAATCCGTCGGTCTCTGCTTGGTCGCACATATCGTGTCCATATTTACAATAGCATTGGAAGAAATAAATCGAAAGCCGTAATCGAACGGCACATTCAGAGTAATCGAGCAATCAGTCACGCTTGTCGTCCTTGTCAATCGGCGAATAGGGTTCCTTTCGTTCGGGGGAGAGACTGCGCTCCCATTCGGCCATCAGGTTGGACGCGGTCCGGGTCAACTTCGAGGGCGCCAGCTTGGTAATGGCTGGCCAAGGGATACCGTCGGATACACTGGGATCGGGGACAATAGACTCGTGCAGGGCGCGCCAGTCGCCAAAACTAGTGCCAGTCAGCGTATCACTGTCAAGGGCCAAGACGAGGACAGATGCCTACGAAAGATATAAACACTGGTTAGGACCTACCTGGTACTTGTACGTGGACTGCTGCTCTGCGTCATCGGCGACTGGTCCTGCTTCGACTCCAACGTGGAGCGGCTGGATGACGGTGTGTGTGTCTTCTTCGGCGAGTCCCACTCCCAGTTGTCTTCAACATCGGGGATGTGGGAGCCGCCCTGTTCGATCCGCCCGCTTGGGGTACTGGAGGCTCCGCGAGCGCTCCGGGACTTCTGCCCAGCTGTATCAATGCCGAATTCACTCCAGAACGACGCGTCAATGTCCGCCGAGTTGGAGTCTTTACCAGAATAATTCGTCCCCGCGCGTGACGTTCTGCCCCCCTGCATGGATAACCGGTCTCTGCTTCGCGATGTCGAGCTGGATGAATCCCGCTTGCGTACGGGAGGTACGCCCCGGGATTCGGTCGCACTGATGCCCTCTTCTCCCACGGTCGCTTGTCGGATATCCTCCAAGAATGTCCAGAGTCCCTCGCGCAGGTCGGACGCCATCTGCTTGCCGGTGCGCATCAGCGCCTCGCGAGACGGAGGAGGCATGGTGTTTCGCCACTGCGCGATCATGTCCTCGGTGGGCTTGGAGGAGTCGCCGGAACCTGCACTGCGCTCAACAGACGACGGCAGAGTGGCTGACCGGGGAGACCGACCGATACGACCATTCGCCGAGTTGGTCTCCGACTCCGATGCGGCCCTGCCGTCTCCAGAAACCGACACCGGCGACAGCAAGGACAGGGTCCGGGTGTGAGAGCCCCGGAACACCCGTCGTCCATTGGCTGAGACGGTCGTGCCTTGAGTTGCAGCTGCGCGCAGACTGTGGCGGCGATCCAGCTCCCGGCTGAGTCGTGCGTGCGCCAGCGAGGGGCTCGCGGAGCCGCTCAGACTGGGGTCTCGACGATGCGAGCGCTCCGGAGTCTGATCGGGGGATCGCAGCGGGATCAAAGGCTCTGCCCGATAGCTGATCTCCGCTCGCTTCTTGGTCCTCTCGGACGAGGCCCACTGCTTCTTCAACGAGTCCAGCTCAGTCTCCGCACGATGGAGCTCCTCCCGCAGCTCCAGCACTCTTCTTTCCTGCGAGGCGATGGCAGTCAACAGTCCGGAGCCATCATCTTGTTCGTCAAAGGCCAGGGGAGCTCCCAGATGGGGGATCGGCGAGGGGTAGGCGGAGGAACGAGTCACGGGCGTCATGGATCCAGGGGAGGCAACACTCGCACTAGGGTCGACGGTGGCGGGCGGCGGGATGTTGATGGGGAAGTTCAAGGTCAGTCGTTTGGCGTGTCGAGCAGCACCATTTGGACGTGCTGGTAGAGAGGATCGCTTCGACTGAAGGGTAGTTCGATCATGCTCAGTGGGAGGGTTTGGGTGGTGGTGGGTGAGGTGGTCGGGCGACGACAGCTGCAGCAATGTCTGGGACGTTTCCGGAGCCATTCCCGCCCTGCCCGTTCCCGGGGAATCCCCCATGACGGACCAGCGTACTGAGGATGGAAACTTCGTTGATCAGACAGGCCTGGGGAGTTGGTTACAGAAGCTGAAGCGACAGAATCATGGCAAAACCCTGGAGAGCCCGGCAGGAAGGATAGAAACAATCGATCAGGGGCCCGGGAGTCAGTCAGATGAATGCTCCAGGGGGGGCGGGCACGAGGGAGAGGAATTGGCTGATAAGAAAGCTAAAGAATGTATGGGGCCAATCAGCCGCATAAACAAATGGTAGCCGTTTAAGAGGCAGAAAAGGAGGAGATTGAAGAAAGAGAATAGAAGAAGGTCAGTCAGGGCAAGGGAAAGAAGGAAAAATAGAAGAAACGGGGCCGGGAAGCAACACGGCCAAGAGAGAAGGAGTGTAATCAAATCCCATCAAATAAAAATGCGAAGAGCACGAGCACGAGAGGAAAAGGTCTGGCCGAGGGCACGAAAGTATGGCTAAGAGCCAACGGGTCTTAGTGAAGGTCACTAAAGCCACCAAGTTGGCGGGCGAAGGAGGGAAGTGGATGGGCTCCAGCGGGTCGCAACGCGCATCCCTTCCGCCTGCAGTCTTGCGTTTCACCGCGTTCTCATTTCTCTCATTTCTCTCATTTCTCTTCTCTTTTCTCTTTCAGGGGGTGATGGGTGTGGTCCATGGAAATTACTAACCCGGTAGTTAGATGAGGATGGACACTGCAAAAAGGTGCATACCCAGCATAGATAGTATATGATTATCTATCTACATGATCATCCATCACATTTCATTATCTTTCCCTGCTGCACGATGCGGGGAGACATGCACGCAAGGGGGAACATTTAAACAGCATGATCAATGAGGATCATCCTCCCCTCCCTCATGTGGTTGACAGGCCCCAACGTGATGCCAATTTACCTGCAACTGCTTTCTCCCTACGTATTTATCTACTTCCCGCACACTTCTCTCATCTCCCAAATTACTGCTCCTATTTTTAAACTTCGTATCGTCCCGACCCGTCTTCTCGGAGTCTGGATGGCCTGCTCGGCTGGTATTTCCGTTATTACTTTGTACCATCATGTTGTTCCTAATATACATCACGTAGGAGATTTAATTTTTTTTAATTTTAAATTTTTTCATAGAATTGTGGTTACCCATACATGCAGCAAATACATGCAGGTCGCAGATCGCCTCAGTTCCACCAACACCAGCTATAGTTCACACAAAGTCCATACACTGTCCAAGATTATCCTTCCATCCAAAACAACAACAACAAATTATCACATCATCAAAATGAACGAAAGAAAGAAAAGCAGCAAAAGACCTATCTATCAGAACAGAATTTAGTACACATGCTCGCCCGAAATATAATCATCAGAAATGAAACTCGTCGCGCAGATTCGGAGCTGAGCCATCGAGCCAGTCCCACGGGTTGTGCCACGCTGCCACACCAGTTCGACCAGCACCTGGCCTCCAGCTTGGCCCCAACCCACGGAGCCCAATGCAGCAAGGAAACCGTACCAAGCGAGGGGAATTATGCAGAAATGAAATCAATAGGTGCAGCATACAACAAGCCCATGGACCCAACATGTAAACGCCCCGGGAACCGATTTTGTACAGATAATAAAAATAAAACAAGGTCAAAAGAGAAGACAGAGAGCCGCAAGGGACCTGTCAATAACGTCAGGGATACAAGGAGGAGTTTAGATCCCCGGCCAGCGGTTGCGGAGGCCTTCAGACCATCGTTGATAGAGCACATCCGACAACTGCTTCGTGTGCTCCATCCCCGGCACTTGCTGGCCCGGGAGATTCGCCAGCTGCGCCGGCTGCAGGTTGGGCTCGGCCACTGCCGCACTCTGGCGGCGCCGATGGCTTTTCAGATGTGGGTTGTTTTGTGCCAGAACCAGTCGCGGCCTCTGTGGGGATTCGGCCGGTGGAGCGGGTGGGACGAGGCTGGCCAGCTTGGGGTCGCTAGAGTAACCGCCATTTCATCAGCTTCCCTTGCCATTCGCTGCAGGAAATATCGCCACTTACCCTTGCAGTCGCTCCGTCATCGCCCTCACGATGTGATACAGACCCTCAGGGTCGATCATTTCCAGATCACTCCACGCCTCGGCCAGCCGGGAAATCGCCTCGCGCTTCTCGTCATCTCCCGTCGTGCCCAACACCTCCTGACAGGCAAGTCCCACCGCCTTGCTGTATGCGCGACGGCCCAGCTGTGCTTCCTTGCTGTTGGGCTCCGAGAAGAGCGTCTTGGGACTGGCATTTTCGTCCGTGTAGGAATACTGCGGGGGGTATGAAGCGTCGGCGGGGACCTTATCCGACACCCGACGGAATTGACGAACGGTCGAGGGACTGTTCCCAAAGCTCATGTCCACCCCCAGAGGTTGCTTCACCCCGCTGGATCGTCGCTTGGCACGCCGCAAGGATGGACTGCGTTCGGGGGCCGGTGCCCGTCTGACGGCGGTATTCGTTGCATGCTTCGGTGGAATAGGTGGGCTAGAGATGTGCAAGTCGTCCATCAGCTCGGAGGCTTCATCAAACACCCAGTCCTGGGGTTCCGGCTCGTTCTCAAAGTCGTCGGGCTCTTCGCGGATAGCCATCGTGAGAGCTTTCACGGTATCAAAGACCCATCCGTCATCATCATCCAGGTTCCGAATCGTATTGCTGCAGCAAAGTAGTTAGCGGATGTGATGTGTGTTCGGGGGCGGGCCACATACAGAGACTCTGCATAATACTTCACTTTGTGCGTCACACCCCGACCAGCATCCCAATCCTGCCTCCGGTGAATCAGTTCCTGTAAAGCCTCCGTTTTCCCCGCATTGCGGATGAACTTGTGTCTCAGAAGCTCCTTGGCGCTCGGTCTTCGGTCGGGGTCCTTGGTCAAGCACTGTGCAACAAAGTCCTTGAAGGTGTTGCTATAGTCGTCGCCTTGCAAGCGGGGGGCGGGTTCCTTAGGAATCAAAAAAAGCACTTTCATGGGGTGAGTGCTGGCGTGTGGCGGCTCGCCGTTGATCATCTCGATCGCCGTAATACCCAAGGACCAGATATCCGCTTTGTAGTCGTATCCAGCCTGCTGGATAACTTCGGGCGCCATCCAGAACGGCGTGCCGACAAAGGTGTTGCGTTGGGATTTGATATTGATTAATTGTGCGGCCACCCCGAAATCCGCCAGCTTGACCTTTCCGGTATGCGACAGAAGTACATTGGCGGCTTTAATGTCGCGGTGGATCTTGCCTTCGCTGTGCAGATAATCCAGACCCAGAAGCAGTTGCTGGCAAATAATGGCGACGTGGGCTTCGTTAAAAACGCCGGGTTTCAGCTAGAAGTGGTTAGCGAAGCGCACCCAGATTCGACAGGTCACTCATGGATTACCAGGTCCAGACAGGATCCACCACCGAGATACTCCATCACAATCCACAGCTTATGACCTCTCAGAAAACTCGCCTTGTATTGCGTCACGAATTGGCTCGCACAGGTAGCGAGGACGGAGATTTCCTGCTGGATTTCTTGGATATCATCTTCACTGGATTCGAGATCGATCTGTAGCAGCGGGCGCATGTCAATAAATGGATACGTTCACCGGGCGAAAAAGCCATGCAGAGTCACACGCACATGTTTAACCGCCACAATCTCTCCGGTAGCCTTTTCAATGGCCTTGTACACCGTTCCAAAACTTCCACCTGCAGGTGCAAACGGTCAGTTCCCGATGCGATTGCCTCCACTGACACATTCCGCAGGACCACTCACTTCCCAGCTCCTCCAGCATCTGATAATGACCTGACATGTCGTCCTCCATGGTTATCGTGCAGGAGGTCTCCTCCACGGATGAGACAGCGACGACGTGAAAAGTGGAGAGAGAAAAATAGAAAAGAGGAAAAAGGTGAGCAGGGACCACACACACACACAACTCAGCACACAAGGGGCAACCCGCACAGCCAGCCAGCTGAATTAATCCTGTGAATACAAGATATACACGCTGAGCCGAACAAATTCGAGTGAACCGACCTTGGAGAGCGGAGGGATGGAGGAGCAATCAACGGGGAGCTGAGGCTATCTACCAGGGACTCCTCCATTCAAGGACCAGCCCGTCGCGCATCCGGTGGTCGGCAGCCGCTCGCTCCCATGGTTCGCGGCAGACACAACAGGCGGTAGCTCATGGCAACCATGGTTCCCGCTGCTTCTTCCCCCTCACCGCCTGCCGCTGACCGCCGGACTCGGATTATTTGGTTTGCCGGCGTGTCAGATCACATGCTGCTTTCTTTCCCTTTAACTATAACTTGCTCCATGATTAAGCTTCTGACCTCCGAAAATAATGACATGGAATAAGACCATGTCTTACACTGACATGTGTAGTCTTCTTTGATATTTAGCTACTCAGCAGCCACTTCACGAATACGATCGGGGTTCGATCGTGCATCTCATCGACGGGGGGCCTAAGAGTTAAATTACTTTCCCCGCATAGCCAGCCACCTTTGCTCTCTGCTAAATATAACCTAGACTCACTATGGTGGGTTCGTTTTCTCGGAAATCTTGGAAACCTGGCTATCTATCTACGAAATTCCGGATGCGACAACTTAGCTTATGCAATATCTTCGCCACATCTGTGTAACTCGACAAGGCCACCAGCATCTGGATGGTACCCTACACAGTGTACTCCGTAACGCTATATTCACCATAATCCATTCTTACGGCCCCCGGGTTGGCATTACCAAATAACAGGATATCTACATGCAATAGAATTTCTAGTTCCAACTATTGAGAACTACTAAAAGTAAATCTGAGTTTAATGTTGAACCGAATATGTTGAACATTACCGAGTACAGTACTTTTGTGCTCACCCGAACTACAAATGGAGTTTTCGGTCTGTAACTAACATACTTATTAATATACTTCAGTCACTCTTAGTTACTAAATGTAGGTATGATTTTGAAGAGAATAATCAATACTACTATGGGCCAGGTCAGCTGTAGGCTCGGGAACCGAGGAGTCCGTGTGACCGAAGCTACCGTGGATCGTTGATGTATATCCTCCGTAGCACTAGTCAGGAACTGTAGGTCTGGAATCTCGGAAGGCGCGATGCTAGGGGTATAACTTTTTCAGTAGCTGACATTTAACCCCTCATCTCCTCCCGTTCCCTGTACTCTATTCAACCAAACACCCCACCGTCGTATCGGCCGAATATTCCACCATGGGGTTGTTGTTCAACTCCCACACCAACCAGCTACTCCTGCTGCTAACGGTCCTGGCAGCACTCACATTCGTCACCTCCAGGGTTCGTCGCTATTTTATCCGCCGCGAATTTACACGCCGCCATGGCTGCCAGGAACCGCCCAGTGTCAACAAGGATCCTTTCCTAGCACTCGATCAAATCTGGACCTCCGTTCGCTATTTTCGAGAGTACGTTTCCCTGGAGAAAAACGCTGAGCGCTACCGCCTCTATGGGGATACATACGCCTGGAAATTACTGCTGGGGCACTACAGAGTCTTTACTATGGAGCCGGAGAATGTAAAATCGGTCTTGTCAACGAGTTTCAAGGATTGGGGTCTGGGTCACCGTCTTCCGCATTTTGAACCGCTTCTCGGTAAAGGTATTTTTGACACAGATGGTGAGCACTGGGCTACGTCTCGTGCCCTCATCCGGCCCAGCTTCACCCGCGACCAGGTTGCGGACCTGGCAATGTTCGAAGAATTGATCCCCGACCTCTTTGCCCAGATTCCTCGTGATGGAGTGACGGTGGTGGATCTGCAGGATCTCTTCTTTCGCTACACTATCGATTCAGCCACCGCATTCCTCTTCGGTCAATCGGTCGCCAGCCTGAAGATGGACCAGTCGGAGCTTGGCTTTGCTCAGGCCTTCAACTACTCCCAGGAGGCCATTACATTACGATTCGTTCTGGGCCCATTAGGCAGAATCTTCCCCCACAAGAAGGCGGATAAATGCTATCGTTTATGCCGGGACTTCGCTGCGCGGTTCGTCGAGGAGGCAGTCCAAGCAGCCCAGTCCGAGGGAGCCGATGGGACTTCGGAGACAAAGCATGAGAGGTATATCTTCTCTCATGAATTGGCACGACGCACCTCTGATAAACGCCGCATTTTGGACGAGCTCATGAACGTTCTGCTTGCCGGCCGTGACACTACTGCCGGCCTTTTGAGCAACATGTTCTTCATGTTGGCTAAGCACCCAGAAGTCTGGGACAAGCTGCGCCAGGAAGTAGCTACCTTGGAGGGCCGATTGCCCTCGTATGAGGAGCTTCGTAACCTGAAGTATCTCCGATGTTGTATGAATGAATGTGAGTAAACCGCTGCTGTGATTTTGCACCATAGCTCGTCTCTGACAATCTATCAGCATTACGATTGCATCCAGTTGTACCAGTAAACGGGCGCATCGCACTGAGAGATACAGTATTGCCGAAGGGAGGAGGCAAGGATGGTCGCTCGCCGGTCTTCATGCCTGAAGGGTCTACAATTGAGTACAATGTATATGCGATGCACCGGCGGAAAGATATCTATGGACCCGATGCAGATGTTTTCCGCCCTGAGCGCTGGGAGAATGGACAATTGCAGCCTCGCTGGGAATACCTTCCCTTCAATGGAGGACCACGCATTTGTCTCGGTCAGCAGTATGCGCTGACTGAAGCTGGATATGTCACTGTTCGCATGGCCCAAGAATTCCGGACCTTGAAGGGCCAGGATCCAGGACCGTGGGAGGAGGCATTGACCTTGACTCTGTGCTCACGGAATGGAACGAAGGTGTCTGTCACACCGGCTTGAATAGAAAAGTTTGCCTGTTGTTTTTGTAATGCTTAGCTTATTGTCGAGTGCCATATCAATAGCCAGACTGTCATGTTGTTTTTAGCCTCTACTTTTACACTTCAAGCACCTTACGTATGCTGAATGGCTTAGAAGGGGATGTGGCGGTAAAACCCTCCAACCCGAGTTTTGTGGACATTGTAAATGACACATCACATCAAATAGATGAGTTTACATATGCATCTTGGCCCTGGCTTGTATTCCAGTCTTGATAACCGTCTGCTCCCGTGACTCATCCCATATAGTACCGGGATCGGTCTCCGAACCCCGATTCATATACCGAGTCCGCATACAACCAAGGACAACTGCTGCTTTGATTCTAGCTTCATTCCTCCCTAGAGAATTATCAGAATACATAGCAATTTAAATATTCCCCAGATAAATTATCATTAAGTAGATTCTCGAAATTGCATTACATTATCTATGAGTCGGGTATCTCCGGCACACCTAGTGTATCGGTATCCGGCGTTGCCGAACCCCGATAATCATGAGAGCAGACCATTCCATCACTCTCACCCCTCTTTACTTCTTCTATATTGTGATACAAACCATAAACAATATTTATCTGGGCGGTGAGTTTATTATCGTGTTCAAGTTACGAGTATATGCCCAGAATGGCCCCTCAATCGTACGGACGGGTATGTTCAGCTCACCCACTATCTACATCTTGCTTACCAATGCGGGCGAACAGGCTTGTCTAAATTGCTCCAAGTCCAAATGCAAATGCGTTGACCGACCAGGAAGCCAGGGGTGTGAAAGATGTTACCGGCTGAACAAGACGTGTCTGCGAGGCACCTCAACCAGAGCGATGCAGTCCCAGAAGAACAATACTGCCGCGCGCATTGCTCAGCTAGAAGGCAAGCTGGATGAGCTGGTGTCATCTCTTCAGCCACAAAACCCACCAAGCACTTCTAGCAGTTCTGTTAGAAACTCTCTTTCTACTCCAGCATCTGATTCCAGCTCTCCTACTACATATGGAGATTATAATATCCCTGCAGCATCGATATCTAGTTCGGACAGCTTGGAGTCTTCACCGGAAGAGTCGCTAGACATATTCCGCACTCACATGCTTCAGTATTTTCCCTTTCTACATCTTCCCGGAGACGTGCAATGGATGCGTCAGGAGCGGCCTTTTTTGTTCCTCTGCATCATGGCGGTGACGTGTCCATCGATACCGACCAAGCTCGCCTTAGGAGAGAAGATCAGAAAGATTGCTACAGAAAGAATGTTCCTTTCTAGTGATCCGGGTGCAGTGAACCTTGATCTTCTGCTAGGTCTTTTGACAGTTCTAGCCTGGGGCTACGATCACTTACTACACGACACCGCATTGGGACTGCCGCGGTTTACTCAGCTCGCCATAACGGTTGTTTACGAATTGCGTCTCAACAAGCCAATTCCTGATGACACCAATGTCCTTACTGCCGGACTCGGCGGCTGCGCCTCATCGAGGGCACCAACGCGGACGCTCGAGGAGCAGCGAGCAGTCCTAGCATGTTTTATTTTGAGCTCCATGTAAGTCTATTGCACTCCTTTACGTGGTTATGCCTAACACAGCTAGTGTATCGACATGCCTTGACAACATTCAACCAATGCAATGGACGTCACATATGGAAGAATGTCTCGAAGCTCTGACTCGGAAATGTGAAACGCCGCTTGACGAAGTATTCGCTCATCAAGTCCGACTGCACCGTATTGCAAGAGAGGCGGAGCATATCCGAATTGCGTCGACGGCGGTTCCGGCAGCGTTTCACCTTACTGCTTTGCAGAGGAAGGTCAACGAGGTCAAGCAGAGTATAACACCTGACTTGCAACATAACAGTGAGTAGATCATTGATTATACCATCGTCAGGACTTTGGCTCATGCTGAACAGGCCTATTCCGTGCGTCGACGTACTACACCGAATTGAGCATCCATGGCCTCGTCCTCTCAAAAAAGCAAGACATCCCAGACCTACAAAGACTCGAAGGACTCCACGCATGTCTCGAAACCGCCAGATCAGCATTAGATAGCTTCTTCCAGATATCATCCACCGACGACTATATCGGAATTTCATTCCCCTTCTTCAACTATCTCGCGCGGAGCATCCTAGTCATCATGACACTGTCAACGATGAACGACCCCATCTGGGACACAAGCCTGGTGCGATCGACTGTGGACGTTCTATGGATCTTGGACCGCCTGATCAACGAGGTGCAACAAGCCAAGGCGTCGAGATGTGAAGAGAATGAGTCAGCCAATGGATTTTTGGACAAGTCAACCAAGAAACTCCAGTCGCTTCGTGCCTCTGCATGCGCCGCGCTGATGCCGGCGAAGCCGCAGCAGCAGTGTAGTAGCGTTGCCAAAGCGGCCGAGGATGACTTGCAGGTGTTGCGCATGTTTCAGGCCTACGAGTTGATGGACGCGGGGTTAATGGCTAGTTTCATGGAGGGAACAGCTATCTTCGATGGATTTTATTAGCTGATATCAATATCCCAAGTTAACCCTAATCTATCCCCTCACAATCTCCCCATCACCTATACTAGTTTACTCCTCAAAACTAGTCGAATGCGCAATCTCCCTCATGGCCTCCAAATTCTCCCTAACCCCCTCAATCTTCCCCGAAAACCTCTTCCAACAATCCGGCCCCAACACCACCCTCAAAAACCCCTTATCAGCAATCCCCTCCGCCAACCCATTCCCATCCACCACCTCCAGAATCCTCTGCGCCGCCTTCTCCGGATCCCCCTCTTGACTCCCATCCTTCGCCTTGATCAACTGCAGCGCCGCCTCCACCGGCGTCCCCACATAATCCTCACTCAACCCCGCCGCAGGCGCCACAAACGCACTGAAGAAGTTTGTCCGGAAGTACCCCGGTTCAATTAGTAGAACGCGGATCCCGAAGGGGTGGAGTTCTTTAGATAGGGACTCTGTCATGCCTGTCCCCAGCACCATTAGCATATACCCACACACAGACACACAGATATCATCACATCATCGATACGACAAGATAAAATGGGACATACCTTCCAATGCAAACTTCGACCCCGCATAAACCGCACACCCTGGCGCACCATCCACACCCGCACTACTGCTAACATTCACCACCGTCCCGGCCCCTCTCTTCCTCATGAACGGTAACACGCCCTTCAACACCCTTATCGGACCATACACATTCGTATTGAACTGGGACTCAATCTCCGCTTCGCTCATGTCCTCGATACTCCCTAGCAGGGAGTATCCCGCATTGTTGACGACTACGTCGATGACCCCGTCTGCGTGTGTGTTGATAGCACTTTGGATGTGCGTGGGGGTGGAAGGGTCGTTCACGTCCAAGGGAATCCAGATCCCCCCCAGTGAGGTGATTTCCGGTTGTAGGGTCGATGCGGTGGTGGTGTTGCGCGCTGTGGCGAGGACGCGGTGGCCGGCGCGGAGGGCTGCGAGGGCGAGGGAGGCGCCGAGGCCGGAGGATGTGCCGGTTATGAGCCACGTTTGGGGCATTTTTTCTTAGTTTTTTGGGAGGGGATTGGGGGGAGGTGGTGGTAGTAGGAAGTAGGAATGTGTGTTGCTTTTATACTAGGTGGTGTGGGTGGAGATGGAATAGCTAAGCTTATCTATGGCCCGTGTCTAGTGCATGGATTGGTGATCCTCCGGGGATTGAAGGTTAATGCCTTTTACTCCGATGGGGCTGGATGGTAGGTGCGGAGTTTGCGGAGTTAGATGGGATCATATCCGCATAATGTGGAGGTTAGAAGTTGGATGGAGTGGATGTGGGTTTGGTAGAGTGGTTTATGTTGTATACTCTGTGGTGTATTGTGGTTGATGTGCTATGTATATGGTGAATTGTATGAGGATTGTCCCTGGTATGGACAGGGATATGTGTTTGGTTGATAATGAATTAGCTGCTTGCATGTCGAGATGGCTGAATCTTGCAAAAGGAACAAGGTATAGTAGGAATGGATATAGGGGCTAGGCTTTACCCCTCTCATTCTCCATTGACGGGACAGATTCATATCGTTGCTAAAATCTCACGTCAGATTGATTTTGGAACGAGGGATGAACTCGGTGGCCTCGTAGTGAATATTACGTATACTTTGTGCAAAGAAGGTTGGTGCTCATTATAGTTTACGCTGCTTCAGGCTCAAATAATCTCCAATTTTAAAGTATGATATCATGGTAACTCCAATATGCTGCAAATCTAAATGTACTTGTAGGGGTTCAGGATTCCATTCTGTAGCCATGATTAGTACCGCAGCATCCATATTCAGCAGAGTACTCACCGGGTCGTATAGCCCCTTCAGCTGCTTCATCAACTTCACCATGGTATCATTCTGGCTGTATCCGATAAACTCCTTCTTCGCAAGACCGAGACCATGCTCGGCACTGATGCTGCCATTCCGCTTCTGGATCCACTCGTACACCCAAGGCTCAATGGCCTTCTCGACCTCCTTGTTGTACTGGCGAACCGAGATGTTCAGGTGCAGGTTGGAGTCACCCATGTGGCCGTATCCCACAACAGCACGGACAGGGAACGAGTCGTCGTCGCCAACGAATCCAAGCTTCGTCAGACGCTCCTTGCAGTCCTCGACCAGCTGGTACAGCTCCGGCAGAGGAATGGAGACGTCATACTTGTAGGTGCCACCCAGGTGGCTCAGCGCCTCCGTGATACCCTCTCTCCAGCGCCAGATGGCGTGGAACTGGGTCTCGTCCTGAGCCAGGACACCGTCCGCAACGATGCCCTCGCCCATAATGTGCTCCAGGAATCCCTCCAGCTTGGCCATGTCGTGCTCAGCGTTGGATCCACTGGTCTCGACGAGACAGTAGAAGGGGTACTCGCCTTCCAGGGGATACTTGGTGCCGGTGGACTCGTGGACGAGCTTCTGCGTGCGGCCGTCCATGAGCTCAAAGGCGGAGAGAATCTCGGACAGGTGGCCCTTGGCTTCCTGGTAGGCCTGGCGGACCTGGTCGTAGCTCTCGAGACCAA